CGTGTCCCAAAGCCTAGCTAAGACCATGAAACTTTAATTTGGCACAACTTGTACTTTGAGCGTTTAATCTGTGTAGGGTGACCAGATGTCCCGATTTTTTTATATGGGCTCCTATTACCCCTCAACCCCGTCCCGATTTTTCACATTTGCTATCTGGTCACCCTACACAGATTAAACGCTCAAAGTACAAGTTGTGCCAAATTAAAGTTTCATGGTCTTAGCTAGGTTTTGGGACATGTTATGATCCTAGCTTTCAGGCATTCATAACTACTGTCAGTTAGGGTGACCAGACAGCAAGTGTGAAAAATCGGGACAGGTGGTGTGTGTGTGTGTGGGGGGTAATAGAAACCTATATAAGAAAAAGACCCAAAAATCGGGACTGTCCCTATAAAATCGGGACATCTGGTCACCCTACTGTCAGTGTTCCCAGAGAGCAGCACTTAATACATCTTGAGAGACAACCCATCATTAGACAATTGGAAGGCATCATATCTAGCCTCCAATTACCTAGCCCCCATATTTCTCTAAGTCTAGCTGAGTGTGAAGGTATTTGTCTCCCCTAAGTAGTGAAGAACATAAGAATAGCCAAACGGGGTCAGATCAATGGTTCATCTAGCCCAGTATCCTATCTTCTGACAGTGGCCGGTGCCAGATGCTTCAGAGGGAATGAACAAAACAGGGCAATTTATCAAGTGATCCATCCCCTGTTGTCCAGTCCCAGCTTCTGGGAGTCTGAGGCTTAAGGAAACCCAGAGCATAGTAATGTGTCCCTGGTCATCTTGGCTAACAGCCATTGATAGACCAATCCTCCAGGGATTGATCTAATTCTTTTTTGAACCCAGTTATAGTTTTGGCAACGAGTTCCACAAATTGACTGTGCATTGAGTAAAGAAGTACTACTTATATTTGTTTTAAACCTGCTGCTATTAATTCCTTTGGTTGACCACAGGTTCTTATGTTATGTGAATGGGTAAATAACACTTCCTTAGTCACTTTCTCAGCACCATTCATGATTTTATAGACCTCTATCAGATCCCCAACTTAGTCATCTCTTGTGTAAGCTGAGCAGTTCCAGTCTTTTTAAACTCTCCTCAGATGGAAGCTGTTCCACACCCCAATCATTTTTTGTTGTCCTTGTCTGTACTCTTTCCAAGTCTAATATTTTTTTTTATATGGGGCAACCACAACTGCACTCAGTATTCAAGGTGTGGACGTACCATGGATTTATATAGTGGCATTATATTTTCTGTCTTATCATCTATCCCTTACCTAACGATTCCCAACATTCTGTTAGCTTTTTTTTGACCACCACTGCACATTGAGCAGATGTTTTCATAGAAGTATCCATATTGACACCAAGATCTCTTTCTTGAGTGGTAACAGCTAATTTAGACCCCATCATTTTGTATGTATAGTTGGGATTATGTTTTCCAGTGTGCATTACTTTGCATTTATTTTCCATAACTCACAAATTAAGTCCTTGTCTCATTCATTCATATGTGACACTCACCTTGAGAAGTCCACAAAGCAAGCGTTATTCTGCTGTAAACTTCACCCAGATGGAGCTGGGGTCTGTCGGTGAGCTCTTTCCTGTTACATAATGACCAAGTCTATTTACACAGATATCAAAAATGTGTAGTTCTATTTTTAATTCAAACTCCCTGAATACTGAGTGAAACCCAAACTGGCTTTGGGGCTTTTGATTTCACTGGGGTTTTTCTTTTCTACCTAGCACAGGAAATGCACATGAACTTTCATGTTCAGATTGCTCTCCTACTTACTCAGACGTGTTTTACATTGACATTCTTTCCTAGCTGCCTTTACCTATTTACCTACGTTATTCCTCTCCCTCTTTATCCTAGGAGTCCCTTCTGCTTTTTGAGATCTACTTGAAGATAACAGTCAAACACATGGCGATTCTGTCTCCTACATTTAAAATATGATTGGTGAACTTCTTCTTTCCCTGATTATGTTTCTTTGGAATCTGGGAGGGGTGGGGGGTGCCCCTCTCTGCTAGGTTGCTCCAAACACTTACAAACTTTGGAGAGGCAGACGGTCACCAAGGAATCACTCCAGCACACAGGTGCATCACAGAGCCTTTCTTAGCATGTACAGAATCCCAGTGATCTTCCTTGCAAAGGGCAGTAAGTGGGAGTAGGACACAAATAGAATCATAGCACCTAAAGTCAGAAGGGGCCACCGGATCATGTAGTCTGACCTCCTGTGTACCATCGGGC